AAATAATCATATTAAAATTAATTTTTTTCTAAGAGTTAAATATTCAAAACAATAGTAATTAAGAAATCTAGTAAGTTAGTCAGTTAGTAAGTAAGTATAGTATGTCAATTTTTTTTTTTTATTAATCTTGTTAAGCATAAAAAAAAATTCTCGAAAAAAAACAATTTTAATAAATTCTAAACGAGATATCACTTAAAGTTATTAAGATATTTAAAGTTTAGGGGATTTCATAAATAAAACAGTAGTCGGATAAATACAGTAACATTAATATTTATTGTACCGATAGGAACTACCAGTGTATTGTACCGTAACGGGAAACACTTAGGTATGCTTGCTCCTCTTTGACGAGAACCCCTAAACTTTAATGAATCTTAGCTCATTGACAATTAAGTAAAATAAAAAAAATTTTAAAACTAAATCTTATATGATTACAAAAAAAAGATAGGATTACCATTTGTAAATTGAACGTTGATTTAAAGCATAAGGTATGACCATAAAAATGTAATTTTACTAATAATATTTCAAAAAAAAAGATAATTATTATATTTTTAGAGATTATTTGTGAGGCAAGTTAATTAATCATTCTGTATTATATATTAAAATATTATTAAATATATTTAATTATTTCTGTGTAATCTAATAAATATGATATTAACATATATGTGATTAAATTTATATAATAAATATATATTATATATTTATTATATAATATATTATAATTTATTATATATAAATTAGTATTTATTTAAATTGATATACTGCATTTAATATATTCTAGTTTTATTTATATAATTATAAAGACTTTTGAATAGACATGGTCTATTAAAAAACTTTAGTAAAATCAACTTTTTTCTACATGAAAAAATTCAAACCAATAATAATATAAAAAAAATTATCTTATTGTAATGACTTGTTATTTTCTAATCAGTAATTCAGCTCACATACAATATGATTCATCATAATAGTTCACTTTATAATACTTGTTTATTGATTTATGTATGTAATAGTAGGGAAATGGTTTTCATTATTTTAATTAATCATAGTTACCCATTAATTCTTCTGATGTTTTCGGAAATGTACCGCCATAGTTTGTTGGAAGAATAGCAGGGTCAATATAGTTTTTCAGTTCGTCAACTTCTTTGTGAAAATAAATCTACACGCATTAAATAATAATAATAATTCAAAATAAAATTAAATAAATAAAATATATAATAATTATGAGTAAAGTTTCAACACAAAATATAGTTCTCCCTAGTAATAAAAATTTTAAAAAAGGTTAAAAAAAAACTAATAATCATTATAAAATTTGTATTTATTATTTACTTAGAGTATTATGGAAAACAATAACTCTGAACTCAATTTTGTAACTATAAATAAGTCACTTAAACCTCATACACTATAATTGTCTTATAAAAGTTATTATCGACTAGTTATTATCTTATGCTTGTGAAATGGAGTCACCTAAAAGTTCGAAAGTCAATATCGAATTATGTATGTTACCATTTGTATTAATGAAGTTGACTTCCTTTATAAAGTATTATAAAGTGAATACAAAAAATAATTTATAATTCAAAAATCAACTTTCCTTAATTATATAAAAATTAAAAAGTTTGAATTAAAATTTGCTCAGTTAAATCTTATTTATTATGCATGAAAAAATTTACCAATTTTTTTTTTTTTATATACTTTGATAATTGTAATTTCAGAGAAGCCAGAGTTTTTAAATTAAACAAGGATTAGGAACTTAGATAGCTCCTATAAAAAATGTTTATCATGGTAAAATAAGTAACACACCAGATTCAATAATAATTATGATTTATTATTCATATCGAGTTGAAGAAAACTGCAGTACTATACTTTTGCGCTTTTTTTTGTAACTGAGTATACTACTAGATGAAATATTTTAATTAAACCACTTATTAGTGGAACGACGTTAGTCCAAGATATTTAACTAATAGAAAATAATGAAAAACTTTATTTTTAACTATCATTAGAGTATCACATTTTTAATGGAGGTGACCAAAGAATAACACACCCGTTTCTTAAATAAGTGTTTTAGTTGTTATGGATTTTTAATTATTTACTTTTGTAGCATGTTTTTTGTCTAGTTTACTCAAAATTAGATTGAGGACTGAGACTCCAAAACTTGGCACATTGAGATAATGAACTGATTGTAGTCGAAATGCAAAACCTTCCTATAAAAATACAAATAAATCAAATGTTAGTTGCTTAACAGATTGTTTTTTAATTGAATATAAAAACTGTATCATATTCATTTCAATTTTAAACAATTAATAGTTATTTTTAGAATAAGGAAAAATACAACTAGTTCCTCAAAAATGTTATCTAAAAGGCCCGACAAAAAAAAAATAAAAAATTTTTTGTTAATTTTACGTTTTATTTAAAAAAATAATTGTCTAAATAAATTTGATGATTAAAAATCAGTATAGCACAATGGGGTCGCATCAAGTAATAATGATATCTGATATATGTTTAAATTCACTTTCATAAAAAAAGCTTTGATGCAAATCTGTAGATAGTGTTTAATTTTTAAAAAGGAATTGTTAAATTATTCCAAAGCATAATTTTCCTATATCGTTAATTATATCTCGATTACAAGTTTTATAATTTATAAACAATTTATTTATTATAACAATTAAGTATAATACCGTTGTTCAATAATTTAGTTTTATACTTATTACGGAGAAATTATAAAAATATATAGTGTTCAGTAAATAAAGCACGATTTTCTTACTTACTAATCACTCTTTATAAAGTAAATGTATATTTCGTTAACTCAAAGGCATGAAAATTATACATATGGAATAAAAAAGAAAATAACTTATTTGTACCTTTCATAGTTAATTACTATTTCAAGTATGAAACGGAAACTGTAAATTATCATAAATTATTGGTAGCAAGAACATTTTGATTATACAATTTTATACAATGTATAATTTTATTATACATTTGCAATATACGAAAATGAGAATATTAATTCACATTTAAACAGAAGGATATTAAAAGAAGCATAGTTTATTGATAGGAATATTTTATTTTTGGGATGAAATAAGGTCATTCAACAAAACTATATTTAAATAACTGATATTTTTAGAGGCAAACAAATTATGTTGTTCTCAAAGTCAAAATCTTTATGATCATCTGTAAGTTTATACAGTTAATAATCTAACAACAATTGAAACTTTTATTTATACTCACCTTCATACAAAGAATTATATTGTTAATATGGGGTAGAAATCCAGTAAAGTGACTTATCGTATAATTTTTCAAATCATTTATTATTATTTCTTTCTTATTATTGTCTAGTTTGGACGATCTTATATCAGTGCTCATTAAAATACATTTTAAATAGTTAGGATAGCTAAATTTAGTCATATCCTCAGTTTTTAAATGAATCAATGTAATTCTATTAGCATCATTTGTTAACATTGGTAATGGAGTAGTAACACTAAAAAATATTTTATTAATTTACTAACTAAAAATATCGATATTAAAATTTGTTTAATAGAAAAATTAATCAGTTTAGAATCACTTCTATAATTGTAATTTTTTTATGAATATTTTTTAACTGTTCTATCTTCTGAAGTTTTAATGATTATTACTAATTATTAGAAACATTTAAACATAAAAAAATTATTTAAAATAAAAAAGAATTTTTTTGTAATAATTAATCTCAATTTTAAATTGTTTAAAATAATCTGAACAATATTTTGAACCATAATAACATATTTAAATATATTACGCTTCGATGCAAATCTTTTTAGCAAATGATTAGCATCATTTGTTAACACTGGAAATGGAGTAACAACACTAAAAAATATTTTATTAATTTACTAAATAAAATTTCTATATTAAAATTTGTTTAATAAAAAAACTAATGGGTTATACGAATAAAAATAAAATTTTATTTTGTTATAATTGATTTTGTTTATGTTTAAAATTAATTTGTGTAAAATTTCTAACCAAAATATCATTTCTTACCTATATTTTAATTTTAACTACTTAACTTATATATTTAATAACTATGAATATATTATTATATACATTCTTGATCACATATCGATCTAAGCAAAATCATTTATAAACTCTAGTGTTTTAATTTCACGTTTGCAAGATGTTCTAGAAAAAAATGTAGTAAAAAAATATATTTTTGTAAAAATTAATTTTAAGAGACTAATTTTTTTTCATATATAATGACTTGTTTTGAATAATTAGTAACTATCTCAAAAACTTGAGGTGATACAAAAACTCTAATAACAGGTACCTTTTCGTTTCTAATGTTTAAATAGTATTAATTAATTAAAAAGTAAATCTCAAATTTTAATAATTGATACTTACTAACATTCATTCATTTTATCAATAAATTGATTCGTTAGTTCGATGTGACTTAAATATGTTAATAAAGTTTTTATTGTATAATAGTTTTCTATTTTTATTTTGTTTTTTCTATGCTGTTTTTACATGCCAACAATAATGATTTCACTTTCTGTTTCTGACCTAAATGTCAATTTGATACAATATTTTTAAAAATAATTTTAAAACATAAGAAAACTCGTTTATAATATTAAAAATGACCTATAAGACAAAAGTAAATTTTCACATTGTTTTAAACACGTTTTAAATGTAACAACCCTAATTTCTCGTCAATGAATATTACATGGTAATTATTGGTGGCGTATTATGTAACTTAAAGTTGTTGGTTGCTTCAATCAAGTATACTCAGATATAGGAAAGTTTTTAAAAAAGTGCAGCACTGATGCCACACAGCAGAGGGTTAAATTGGAATTTTTTTTTTAATTCCATCTAATTTATCATACATTTTATCTGGGTTTTTAACAGAATCGTATGTTAATTTATTAAAAGTTTTATAAAAGGTTAAAAAAAATATTTAATACCTTCTAAGTTTGGCAAATGAGGTTGCTTTCGTGTCCATTCCATAATTGCTTCAACATCATTTTGAATTTTATCTTCAGTTGTACCTAATTCTGCATAAATTTCTTCCACTTGAATCTGCGAAGCAAGTGTTAGAAAATTCGAATCCATAATTCTTAAATTTTTGTTACAAACGCTGTTTTCTTCAATTTACTTAAAATATTTGATCATAAAATAGTTGAGAATATTTATTTAAGATTTTAGTTTTAATTTTTCAATTGAAAAAGTAATATACACAATGTTTTTTCGTCAATGTATTAATGTTATTTGATTGTAATACACTTTGTACAATTATTTTATACCTCAATATTGTAGTATTCAAATTATACGTTATTAAATTATGAAAAAATATTTTACAGTATTTATTTATATTGAATTAATTTAATATTTTATTGTTTGTAATAATTTTAATTATTACACATAATGTTTTTCGTCAAGGTAGTAATATTATTTCGCTGTATAATACTTTATAATCGTTATTTTATACCTCAATACAGTGATAATTTGCATATACGTTTATTATAATATAAAACTGGATTTTTTTCATTATATGAAAATAATTTAAATAATTATTGTTTCAAAAATTCTATTGCATTTTTTAAAAAATTAAAATAATTAATTAGAATGAATTATTTATTCTTTTCCGAATTTTTAATACATTTTTTACTATAACTATTAATATTTTAGTATCAAATGAATTTTATTTTTGTTTATTTCATTGATGATAAATTTTTACTTAAAATGTAATTATCATACCAATTTAATGATTGATGATATCTATATTTTGTATTTTTTTTATGAATTAGCATTTATGATTTTTTTTTTATCATTTATTTGAAAAGTCTAATCATTAGTTTGTTTTATGATTTATAAGTGTAAATTTATTTATAAATCATTTTACTGGTCTACAAGGAATTTTCTTCCGAGACCAAAATATACTTTTCTAAACCCATTTTTGTGCCGATTTCAAAACTGCAATTAGTGTTTCGCATATTGACTAAATAAGAACAAAATCCTTCTAATTAATATAACAAATATTTGTGTTTGATTATTATGTTATGTATAAATATTCAATAAATATATGTTAATTAAAAATAATTTGAAAAAGTTCTACTTGCTATACGCATTTTTAAGATTTGAACCACACCTTTGTAAAGGGAAATGGTCCGATTTAAAAAAAGATATGTCGCATAAAAGAAGTACGTACATAGTATTTATTATAAAAAAATTGTATTGATTCATACAATTGCAAAAAGTTATAGTATTATTAAGTTAAAAATATAAAATACATTTTTTTATACCTTATGTATTGTGAATTTTGTATCACCTTCAAGTAACGAATATAAATAACTTTAAAATATGAAAAATTAAAAGAATAAAGGGAAAGTTAGGCTAAGCGGATCGAAATAATAATAATAAAACATGATTATCAAATAAAATAATTAATACAAATACGGCACAACGTAATGTATCGGATTGGCCAAGAATAAGAATAGTATACAATGTATATATTTGTATTTGCCACAAAAAAAATTCACTATCAGACTTGCCGGAATAATAATCATAAGAAGAAATATTTGTATGCTACAATATAATAAATCGGATTTAGCCAAATAATAATGATAAACGGACATAGCTGTATGTAAAAAATAATAATACAATAAAATACTAATTATTATAATAATAATAGGCAATATAATTTCTAGCTTGAATATTCTCACCCAAAGGTCAAGAAAAAATTAAATAATAATTAAATTTTTTAAGAGTTGAAATTGCACAATGTAATGATATTTGTTACGTCTTGTGAAGCGTAGAAAACTGTTATTGCTATAGAACCGATTTTCGGGCGCGTTGTCACGCTGACCACGCCTATAATTTTTTGTCAGCAAAAAAAAAAATAATGCTATGGCATTAGCATTTACAAATGGTTGAGCAACGCAAAATTTTGATAAACGATCAGTAACTACTAAAATATACTTATAAGATCATGTCGACTTCGAAAGGGGACCAATTTAATCAATAATTATTTCACTCGTATCTACCTACTTTCGGTGGCTCATTTTCCTTATATGGTTTCCTTTTTTGACATTTCTCACAGAACAAAACATCCGCTTTTATATTTTTCCTCATTTTCGGCCAGTGATATTTATTTCTAATTTTTATTAAACGCTGATATGCTCACTTAAGAAATTATCATGATTTTCAATTATTACCTGCTTAAAAAAATTTTAAGGTAAAGCGACCGCGTAAATATGTATATGTCTAACTTTAGTTTTGTACTATAGTACATCATTATTTTTAATTTTGTAATTATCGGCTTTATTTAAAATAAAACGAATCTGATAAGTCAACGTTTTTAATAGCTTTTATAATATTATGCAAGTACATGTAGTTTGCTTGTTCTTCTACAGCAATATTAATAGGTTGAACAACATTTATTATAAAAATATTTTTTCAATATTCAAATTCAAATGATTAATTAGTTCCTTTGAACTGGTATAACGCGATAAATGATCCGCGGCCTTATTAAAAATACCTTTTTTATATTTTACTTAAAAATCATAGCCCATTAATTTCGTTCGTACTCTGTTAATAACATATGATTCAGCTCTATATTCATAAAACTTGTTAAATTTTTAGAGTCAGTCCAAACCTCAATTTTTCTACCATGTATATACTGTTTATAATGGGTAAACGCAAAATGAACAGCTAAAAACCTCGAGTTCCACTACAGAATAATTAAATACGGCGGACGTTAACTTTTTAGATACACAAGAAATGGGATGAATATCGTTGTTGTTATCGCGCTGTTGAAGTGTAACAACTAACCTTAACTTACTTGCGCCTATGAATACTGTTTTTTCCAAAACTACGTTTAAGTGCGTGAGAATAGACAAAAAAAACCTCAAAATGAATACCTTTTCAGCTTCGCATTGATGCTACAAAAAGTATCAACAATTTCATTTTTATTAGAACATAGTATTTTATTTTTTTACATTAATAAAAGTGATACAAAGTAAAAACTATTAATATTCCAAAATATTAAAAAAAAAACCTTGTCATTGATAAATTTGTTTACATATATAATATTTTTAATAAAAATTGATAGCATCATTAATTTTAGAAATGTATTAATGTCAAATTATAATAACTTACATACATAAAAATGAATTTAAATATACATGTTAACTGTCCTCCACTTTTCGGGAATTTCGAGTAATAAGTTGCCATCTACATTTGATTCCATTGCGTCTATTTTAAAATTATATTATAAATTATTTATTATTCACAAATCCCGCAGGAGGATCCGTAAGGATCACGGGCTTAACAACTCCGCGGACCATAGTTAATTCAGTGGAGGTGGCAACAAGTACCACTGCTCTTAGCCGGTCATGACATTGGTTAGTTGGGACCGGTAGGCCTGGGAATACCTGCTTGCTAACAGCGAATAAGCCCCCCTAACACAGCCTTTCCAAGTGAAAGGGTTGCTATCTTGTCACAGGTTAGTTAGCCAAAAGGTAAAGTGACCATTAGGATACTCTATGGCACCTAGCGCAACATAGAGTATACAGCTTTATCACAGCATCGAGCTCTACTGTGACAACATTTGTGGCCCAAAATACCAATATGTTGTTTTATTACTACATAGTATTCTATTTACAGGCATAAAAAGATCTTTATTTCAAAAAATCGCCATAGATTGTATTACAAGTATCTTCATTTAATTATTTACTACAAAAATTGTTTTATAACAGTTTATATTGATATCCGAGGTTTATTTAAAGAGGGGAATATAAAGTTATAATTTTTATAATACAAAATAAAACTGTACCTTCTTCAACATTTTCATGTGGTAATGTATAAACTAAATTTTCCGATGAAGATCCAATGAATTCTGAAAATATACCAATCGATTGCTTAATTCATTTTTTACTACAAATTATAATATTCATAAAACAAAATATATATGTACTTTCTTCAGAATTTTCTTGTGATAATGTTTGAGATAAATTTACTAATGAAATTCTATTCATTTCTAAAATATAAACAATTAATTGCTTAATTAATATCTAACTATAATATTATACAAAATTAATCTGTACCTTCTTCAAAGTGTTCATTTGCTAATTTTTGAGTTAAGTTTTCGGATGAACTTTTTTTACTTTCTGAAAATATAAACAAGTGATTATTTAGCGAGCACGTGTTTAGTAGTTAAATTATATATATATAGTACCTAATTATATTAAGAGGGTTATTGTTGTGTAAAGTATAAAATATACTCAGTTTGATACAAAGCTGAAAAGATATTGTTTTTTTTTTTTCATAGCTTTTATTATATAAATATTATAGCTTATCTTCTACGTGCAAATAACTGTCGTAGTTAAAAACACGCTATTTTTGTGTTAAAATATTCGATTTTATATATTCAACTAAAAATTGCTACAACTTTTTGTAAAATAAACTAATGAAATCTAAAAATGAAATAATTATTTTTATATTAAAACCATAGGTATTTCCCTTTATTTCACCAATGGGGGGGGGGTTCAAAAAAACAACTTAATCACATGAGTCATCTTTTTCAACTTTTGAAAATATTAATACCTAATGTATGATTTTTGTTTTCCTGATATGGCATATGTCGTTATAAACATTTATTCTAGAATAAAATTTATCTTACTCATATATATTTATATAATTTTCGACTATATGTAAAATGTTTACGGCAATAAACATTTTTTTTTTATATATTATTTCAAATATTCTATTGAGTTGTTGTTCAATTATTCTAATTGATCACCTACTTTTTAGTTATTTCAGTTTTACGTAAACCATTAAAAATGAAAATCTAGTTATATATTCATATTAATTTTAAAAATTATTAAATTAATTTGTAATAGTTATTTGCAAAAATATTTAATAAAAATAATTCTCCCAAAATCATTAAACGGATCAATATATATTTCTTTTTTCAAAAAAAAAAAATATATATATTTATATACATCATAGTAAAATGAATACCTTCTCAGTTTCGCATCAAAACTATAAGAAAAAAAAAATAACGATTAATTTTTTAATTTTAAAAATTGTATTTTTCTATTTTTAAAGGTCATATGTTCAAGTAGATACGATTTATAGTCTTTTGACGTATGGTTAGGCCAAATTAATCCAGTAATATCTGAAATAAAGTAGCAACAGACATAAAAATAGATAAAGAAACATATATAGTTAAACCAATACCTTTTCAGTTTCCTTACAAATAACATATTTTAAATGTTTTTGGAAATCGTGAAGTATTGAAATCCTATTACTATTATTAGCTATTTAAAATTGATTTATTCTTTTTTTTTTAATATAAAACATCTAGAAATGTGGTTTTTGAATGGAATCCAGAATAAAGTAAATCTAATTTTTAATAAATAAAATAAATATACGTTACTGGATTTCGCCTGTTCTTGCAGTGATGGTAAAAATGTCTCGTAGGTATTTAATTTGCACTGAAAACCTAAGTCTTCATATCTGTTTTTGATTGTCCATTGTGCTACATTTTCGATTTTTATTCTTAAAAAATGATAAAACTCCAGTACTGCAGTTTCTTCGATTTCATTTGTTTTTATATTATCATATTCGTTATTTAATATTTGAAAATCTGAAGTATAATCAATGTCGTATTTAAAATGACAAAATTTCATTTCAACATTTAGTTCCTTGCGTCTTGTGGAGAAAAATTTTTTTATTATAATTAATTTACTTTCTGTATTCGATGCATTGATTGTTGAAGGTGATAATAAATTTAAAAAAGACTCATCTAATAAGGATGGTATCAATTTATTCAATATATAGTTATGTTTTGAACCTTTTGTCCAAGGCTCAATATGTAATATGTCCATAGAATCTAAAGCTCCTTTCATTAGTATTACTAACGGATAGAAGATAATAGAAATAGTATTTAATAACATAATGGTGCAATGGATCGCTTTGACATGTTGGTTTTTACTATGTAGCAATGATCCACAATGTTCTTGAAAGTAACATATAAATACGAAAATTCTTTTTAAAATTATTGCATATGAACATCCTAAAGATATTGTAGCTAATCGCATATGTTTACAGGAGCTTTCAGGTGTAATATCTATCCTATCTATTTCATCTTGATAATAATCGTGTCCACAATAAGTAATAAAATCAACTTCATGTATACTTTTCCATTGAGCAGTTCCCAAAAAGTTTTTTATATATGCCGCTTTCATTTTTGAACAGGTTGGTGCTTCAATTTGTATATATACAGAGAAAAATATGAAATACGCCATTGTATAGAGAATTGTCGTCATTTTAATATTCCTTAAGAACTCAACTACTTTACAATAGTTTTAAAAAACTATACATCTATATTTAATATATTAGAAAAATCTGCTTGAATAATTTTATACGTAAATTATTAAGTGCAACATTAGTATTTTTTATTAGGTCATATTGATAAATACATTAAGTTTATATTAATTTATATCATATTTTTCATACTAAATTGAAAAAATATCTAAGACAAAGTTGAGATTGTTTGTATAGTTGGGATAATGTTTTTAACTGAGAAAAATATTTTATGTTGTTGCAAATTAGGTAAAAACATCGATAGTTCGATACGACATTGGACATAAGTGTAATACTGATATCGAAAATAAATGATTCAATACATCATAATATTAAAATTATGTACTACAAATTATTTTGAATTGTAATATTTTAATTTTACGACACTATGATGATATATTATAGTTATTTTTTTAAATAGTTTAACTTTTTTTTAACAAACAGAATATTATTGGGTTACCGTGTTAGAAAAAATGCCACATACTCCTTCCATTGGATTTATGTGAAGAAACTGCAGTACTGGAGTTTTATCATTTTCTAAGAATAAAAATCGAAAATGTAGCACAATGGACAATCAAAAACAGATATGAAGACTTAGGTTTTCAGTGCAAATTAAATACCTACGAGACATTTTTACCATCACTGCAAGAACAGGCGAAATCCAGTAACGTATATTTATTTTATTTATTAAAAATTAGATTTACTTTATTCTGGATTCCATTCAAAAACCACATTTCTAGATGTTTTATATTAAAAAAAAAAGAATAAATCAATTTTAAATAGCTAATAATAGTAATAGGATTGAGGGGTTGAATTTTCGTAAATGGAGATGAAAATCAGTTTTTAGTACTTTTCATTGCATCAGGAAATTTTTTCTCTCTAGAGTTATAAATTAACATTATGAAAGTAGTCTGGTTTAGGAAATTGAATTAGATAGTATAACAATCGTTATTTTTTTTTTAAATGTGACTTGCATTTATAAAACAATATAATGGATACGAAGTCAAAGGACAAAATTTATTTAATCAATTATGATGAAAATAAAATTATTGGATCAAAATTACCATCAAATATTCAAGTGTTAAGAGTTCTTCTTTACAATATGAGAAAAGTAAAACTAAACTTGCGATCTAATGCTCATTTGGTTATTAAAGAAGTTTAAGTGTTCTGGGAAAAAGTTAGAATTTCAGTAAGAAAATTTCAAAGGAGCACAGAAAAATTGGAGTCACTATATTCAGAATGGAGAAATTTGAACAAAAGTTCTAAAAGGACTACAACGAGCCATCAGAATGACATGGCACCGCCCTACTCTTTAGGCTGGCGCTCATCCGTGTCTCTCTCGATATCAGCCGTTCAGCTATTAATATTAAAAAAATTACGAAAAATGTTAAAAAAAAATTCAAAAATGCCATTTTTTAGAATAGATTTTAAAAAATAATTTGGTGCAAAAAATTCTCATTAATGTTTGATAGTTAATTTTCTGTAACTTTTTTCGTAAATATTTGAATTTTTCTGTATTTATTCAAGGGTATCAAAAACTGGCTATGTTATATAAAAAAGGACAGAAGTAAATACCATCTTTTCACACTGAATATGATATAAGTATGAATTTTTCCATAAAAATTATTAACAATCCAATAACTGGCTTCAAATAAAAACACGAACAATACCTATTATTAAAAAAACACAGCACAGGGGGATCGCGGCACAGTGTTGACGTGGCATAGTTGGATAAAGTATAATGAAATCTGACAGTGATTAAAATCACTATAAAAAAAAAACGCTTCGATGCAAATCTTTAGATAGTGTTTAATTTTAAAAAATTGGTGGATTATTCCAAAAGCTACATGATTTGCTAATACCTTATTAATATCCTGATTAAGAAAAGTATATCGAATGAAAAAAGGATTATTAAAAAATATTATTTCTCATAAAAAAATTGTGTTGATCCATACACTTTTCAATAAGTTATATTATAAAGTTAAAAATGTAAAAAATAAAATCGAGAATATTCACACAAAAATAACATTTGGTAACTATTTTCACCGTTAAAACAAAATAAAATTCGAAATTTTTTTTTCCATAATAAAGTATATTACATTAGCTTTAATTTAAGATATATATAAAAGTGTCAGACTTTCCGGAACACTTTCTAAAGTCAAGTTGAAAAAGTTAATTTTTTATGAAACCTAATTTGTAAAAAAAAACAGATTTTTTCGAAACCGACATTGTGCCAAATGACTTTCTAGATGATTATATATTTTTATACTATAGTACTTGAGATTAATACAGCAGATGGCTTAACGCAGAGGCGATGTCGCCGTTAATTATATCGAATGGTAATTGTTAATATACGAGTTATAAGCTGCGCTATTGGTATAGTGAATAATAAATCAGTATTTTTTTGTCGACAATATATAATAATAATAATGACGACTGTTCAAGTTTACATATTATGAGTTGTTTTGCAAAACACATTCTTAAATAAACGCTACTACCGCCGTCGCCAACGCCGCCGACGATAATATATATTCTAATGTTTATAATATTATTAAAATCTGCATAATTGTAATACACTTATCGATTAATGTCGTATATATATTTTTTCTGAATTTTTACTCGTATCCTTTCTACAGTTATAAATTATTACTATATTTAACTAACATAGCTATAAATATAATAATTAAAACGTATTAAATTATACACTTCTAGAACAATCAGGTGGAAAACTGAATTTTTCGTCTGTGCTTTATACTACTTTATGCATGGGTATGAATGACGCAGGCAGTCAGTGTTCTTTAAAGTCATTTATCTAGTAATAGTTTATATCTTTGTTGTATACCCATAAATGACGACTCATCCGTTATAACCAATTAATCTTCTAACAGATGTTTGGAAGCGGAGGGGTGGCAACAGCATAACATTGTGTGCTGACTACTAATCGATTTTCAGTATTTATTAATCTATTGTGCGAGCAAAATGTATTATTTTAATGATATATCAGATAAATTAAATTTTGTTGAAAACAATCCAACAGATAGAGTTTTTAAACTAGTTGATAGATTATTGAAAAGTTATCGAGATTTGCAATATTTTGCGGAATGTCTAGGCAATAAGGTCAACGGTGTAGGTGGAGACATTTTACATTACAAAGGTTGTGATTTATCGGATACGGGAAAATAATGGGATAATCCTAAATGTGAATGCTCAGTTGTGAGGCAAATATATTACGAGCTTTTGGATTCAATCGAAACAATTGAAAAAACGGTGAATGCGAATCGCAACGACAGTAAGCCCTATTGGATCTTAAGACTTTAACCAAAATGGTTACACCAAGGTGTAAATTCCATAAAATCAACTACCTGATCGATTCATCAATGTATAACATTTCACAAATATCATATATACATTAAGGTGAGCCTAACGCAGTGGAAGTTAATTCGAGAAGATACATTACTGTTTCAGTCGAAACGCGATGACAGCCATGTATTTTCAATAAAAAAAAATAAATTTGCGCAATTGTACTTCATTAAAGATATGTTATTTGAGAGATTACATCGACAATTGTTTCATATACGTCCGCGTATTGTACAAGATATGAAAGTTATACTTCAGTCTTTAATTGATCGTATGGTGGTCGAAAAGAAACCGATAATTTACCGGTAAAATTTCATATGGGCGACAAGGTGCGGATCAGCGTACATAGATCAGTGTTTGATAAGGAATACTTACCAAACTGGAGCACTGAACTGTTTACCGTAATCAAGGTTAGGCTAACAGTACCGCCAACATACTATCTAGAAGACTATCAGGGAAATCAAATACGTGGTTTGTTTTACACTGAATAGCTGATCTTATTCGGTTATCCGGACATATATTTAGTTGAACGAGTGTTGAGAACACGAAGGGACCAATGCTACGTTAAATGGTTAGGATTTCATCAAGAGCACAATTCATGGATACCGAAAACCAATATCTCACCTCAATAATTGTCGATATACAAGGTATTGTGGCAACTCGAGGTCGAGTAACAAGGGTGATCTTTGGCCAAGCTAGATGCGTCCACGTACACCAGTAAATCAGGGCTGTCGGCTAAATCCTGGTAGAAGTAGCTAACTCTGAGCAAGTATATGAAGGACTCTTAGAAAAATTAAAAATATATAAATATTGTAAAAATATTACTACTGTACGGTTGTACTCACCAGTATCTATGTAAACTAGGTTTATTGCGTCACCATAATGAGATTTTAATACGTCGTAGCACTACTTGTACATTAAAGTCTTGCTAATATCAAGCACTGCTAAACCAACGTATATAGGTTTAACAAAATTTACTATTTTCGTATCCATTATGACGGCGCACAACCTTTCACCGTATTTGATACAGTCGTTGAAGGTTGGTTGGTTTACGAGCTTGCTTAAACGTTCGGAACTGTAGATTAGCTCAATGTGGATGCGTTTCCGCATGCTTTCCATGGTTTTCCCGATAAATGTAAATATTTATCGAATAATCCACAATAGCTTTAGCATTGAGCGTGCACTTACCAAAAAAGGCATTATTCATTAATTTGAAAAATGATATTTAAAAAGCATTTGCCGCCTGTTTCCGCAATTTAGTGTTCAACTCAATGTACGGTTTCAACCAAGCACTTTGCTGAAACTCTAAAACGCGGTGCACCTATGTGACAAACATATTAATATCATAGCTAATAGCTTTAAGTACGATGTATATATTTTATCGACTTACAGTCCATGTACGATCATCTGTTTCAAATTGACTTAGTGTACAACGTACCGTTGTTTGGATTTCAAACTGGCCATGAGTTTGGTCTTTTTTGAATCCGGCGGTACATCGTTGCCAGGCAAGAACGACAGGTCATTGTCCTCATCATGCAGTTCCTCTGGATACGATATGTTCACTTCATATATACGCCTTGAATTATCAGTGTCCGACAGCGATTGGAGGTCGGGCAGAGGGTCTGCTCCTTCTTACCACTGAAAGTAACCGTACGGCATGGGCTGACTCATAGCCCAACCGTACAGGTTATTGCCTGTAATCATTTTTCACGT